TTTTATGACGTATGGTACATAATTAGGGGCCACAAGGGGCCAGAATGCCAAATCTTTGATGTTTTATATCTCGAGAGTGAGAAATATTTTGATAAGTAATATTGAACAAAAGATGTTCAAAATCATGTTCTGAACAATATGCAAACTTTCATTTTTCGCTAAACGTCCCCATTAGGGAGTTGAAGGGTTGACCCCTAAATATTTCTTTTGCGAATAACTCGAAAACGAAAACGAATCAATGAATAGTTGTTGAACAAAAAGTGCTCAAAATCCTAAGAGCTTTAAGATGAAATCCAGAAAAAGGGGCTGGACACTCAAATTAGGGGCCAAGAGGGGCTAAAAGTCTTTTTTCGATAATTCTTTAACAGTCAATATTTTGCTATGCATTACTGAAGCAAGAATGTTTATCTCAACAATCTACAACTGTATGTTATTATTTTTATGTTGTACATTACATAATTAAGGGCTAAAAGGGGCCAGAATGCTAAATCGTTGATGCTTTATATCTCGAAAGTGAGAAATATTTTGATAAGTAATATTGAACAAAAGATGTTCAAAATCATGTTCTTAACAATATGCAATCTTTCATTTTTCGCTAAGCGTCCCCATTAGGGAGTTGAAGGGTTGGCCCCTAAATATTTCTTTTGCGAATAACTCGAAAACGAAAACGAATCAATGAATAGTTGTTGAACAAAAAGTTCTCAAAATCCTAAGAGCTTTAAGATGAAATCCAGAAAAAGGGGCTGTACACTCAAATTAGGGGCCAAGAGGGGCTAAAAGCCTTTTTTCGATAACTCTTTAATAGTCAGTACTTTGCTATGCATTACTGAAGCAAAAATGTTTATCTCAACAATCTACAACTGAATATTTTGATTTTTATGTCGTATATTACATAATTAGGGGCCACAAGGGGCCATAAGGCAAAATCTTTTACGCTTTATATCTCAAAAGTGGGAAATATTTTGATAAGTAAAATTGAACAAAAGATGTTCAAATCCATGTTTTGAACAATATGCAACCTTTACTTTTTCGCTAAACGTCCCCATTAGGGTGTTGAAGGGCTGGTCCCTTAATATTTCTTTTCGGAATAACTCGAAAACGAAAAAGAATCTCTGAAATAGTTGTTGAACAAAAAGTGTTCATAATCCTGAGAGCTTTAAAATGTTATAAAGAAAAAGGGCCGATCCCTGATATTAGGGGCCGTGAGGGGCCAAAAGTCGATTTAAGAAGTCTTTATTATTCAATGTCTTTTTACAGATTATGGTTAATCATTACTTTAGAATGAAAATCTCAATCAAAATCTGATCTCATCTCATCAAAAATCGAACGGAAGACCCACTCGTTGCTCGCAACGAGATCGTATCTAGTTATTATTATTTTTATTCTTTTTTCTTCTTACAAAATTTGTGCAGAAGATTTCTCGGAGATGGCTCGTTCGATTTGCTTGAAATTTTCTCGGTAGATGCGTTATCATCTGAAGTTAATTCCGGCAAATTATTTTTTGGAAATTCACTTCCGGTCGGGAGTTATCGCCCTTTGATCAAAATTTAGAGGACCTCCTTGTCTGTGATGGAACTCAAAAACGGCTCAAGCTAGAAAGCTGAAATTTTTAGTGATGATAGAGGACATGTTCCCATATTGCACCTGGGTCAGGATATTTTCCGGAAGTGCCTAGTATGGAAGCTCGGTAGGGGTCAAAATTTAGGACACGTTTTATGAGTGGTTTTTTGAGACATTTTGTATCATATCATTTAAAATATGAATATTTTGTAAAAACATACTGAACAACATTTGTGCAAAATATCAAGATCTTTAATATGATATCAAGAAAAATGTGCTGACTCATCAAATTAAGGGCTGAAAGGGGCCAACAGATTTTATTCAATAACTCTTTTAAAGTCAATATTTTGTTATACATTACTGAAGCAAAAATGTTAATCTCAACCATTTACAACTTTATATAATAATTTTTATGTAATATGGTACATAATTAGGGGCCACAAGGGGCCAGAATGCTAAATCTTTGATGCTTTATATCTCGAAATAGAGAAATATTTTGATAAGCAATATTGAACAAAAGATGTTCAAAATAATGTTCTGAGCAATATGCAACCTTTCATTTTTTGCTAAACAGCCCCATTAAGGAGTTGAAGGGTTGGCCCCTAAATATTTCTTTTGCTAATAGCTCAAAAACAAAAAGGAATTTCTAAACAGTTGTTGAACACAAAATGTTCAAAATCTTAAGAGCTTTAAGATGAGATCCTGAAAAAGGGGCTGGGCACTCAAATTAGGGGCCAAGAGGGGCCACAAGTCTTCAATCGATAAGTCTTTATCAGTTAATATTTTGTAATACATTACTGAAGCAAAGATGTTCATCTCAACCATCCACATCTAAATATTATGATTTTATGTCGTATGGTACATAATTAGGGGCCACAAGGGGCCAGAATGCTAAATCTTTGATGCTTTATATCTCGAAATGGAGAAATATTTTGATAAGCAATATTGAACAAAAGATGTTCAAAATAATGTTTTGAACAATATGCTACCTTTCATTTTTTGCTAAAGGGCCCCATTAAGGAGTTGAAGGGTTGGCCCCTAAATATTTCTTTTGCTAATAGCTCAAAAACGAAAAGGAATTTCTAAACAGTTGTTGAACACAAAATGTTCAAAATCTTAAGAGCTTTAAGATGAGATCCTGAAAAAGGGGCTGGGCACTCAAATTAGGGGCCAAGAGGGGCCAAAAATCTTCAATCGATAACTCTTTTTCAGTTAATATTTTGTTATACATTACTGAAGCAAAGATGTTCATCTCAACCATCTACATCTAAATATTATGATTTTTATATCGTATAGTTCATAATTAGGGGCCACAAGGGGCCAGAATGCTAAATCTTTGATGCTTTATATCTCGAAATGGAGAAATATTTTGATAAGCAATATTGAACAAAAGATGTTCAAAATAATGTTCTGAAAAAATATGCAACCTTTCATTTTTTTGCTTAACGGCCCCATTAAGGAGTTGAAGGGTTGGCCCCTAATTATATCTTTTGCTTATAGCTCAAAAACAAATAAGAATTTCTGAACAGTTGTTGAACAAAAAATGTTCAAAATCTTAAGATCTTTAAGATGAGATCCCGAAAAAGGGGCTGGGCACTCGAATTAGGGGCCAAGAGGGGCCAAAAGTCTTCAATCGATAACTCTTTATCAGCTTATATTTTGTAATACATTACTGAAGCAAAGATCTTTATCTCAACCATCTACAACTATATATTGTAGTTTTTATGTCGTATAGTTCATAATTAGGGGCCACAAGGGGCCAGAATGCTAAATCTTTGATGCTTTATATCTCGAAAGGGAGAAATCTTTTGATAAGAAATATTGAACAAAAGTTGTTCAAAATAATGTTTTTAACAATATGCAACCTTTCTTTTTTTGCTTAACGTCCCCGTTAAGGAGTTGAAAGGTTGGCCCCTAATTATATCTTTTGCTTATAGCTCAAAAACGAAAAAGAATTTCTGAACAGTTGTTGAACAAAAAATGTTCAAAATCTTAAGATTTTTAAGATGATATGAATAAAGAGGGCGGATTCCTAAAATTAGGGGCCGTTAGGGGCAAAATACCGATTTTTAAAAGTCTCAAATGTTCAATGTCTTTTTACAGATTGTGGTAAATCATTATTTATGAAAAAAAATTGCAATCAAAATCTTATCTCATCTCATCAAGAATTGGACGGAAGACCCACTCGTTGCTCGCAACGAGATCTCATCTAGTTATTATTATTTTTCTTCTTGGGAAAATTTTGTCCGCGAATGATCTTGTAAAGTACACATCCGATTAAGGGGAAACCTTTTTAGGATAAGTAGGCATGTTATGTAGATTTGCGGAACGAAGGTCATTTTGCCCGCACGTGCTTGCAAGAGCGCGCACGTGCAACACGTGAAATGACCAATATACTTGAAATTGCCGTAACTTTTACATTTTTTGATGTAATGCTTTGATATTTAGAATATATAGACATATTATAAATGTAGATAAGATGACATTGTCAACATGCCATTTTGCCCGCATGTGCTTGCAAGAGCGCGCACGTGCAACACGTGAAATGACCAATATAATGGATATAGGCGTAACTTTTCTATTTTTTTTATGAAATCTTTTGAAATTTATAGTGTACGGATATATTAGTAGCGTAGACAAGATGACATGGTCAAAATAACAAGATCTCACGCGCATGCACGTGCGCTTCGCTCTGATTCGCTGAAACTTAAGTCTCTATATCTTTCTTGTTTTTCGACGAAATCCTATGAAATTTTGAACATAGCCATGCATTAAGATATCCTACAACATGATATATAGCAATTATCATGAAAACACGTGCATGCACGTGTGCTGCAATCTGAATGGCTTAAACTTTAAATAGCTATAACTCCCTTGGTTTTCAACCAAACAGGATGGAATTTGGAACATAGATAGATATAATGAACTTCTAGAAGAAGGTATAGTCACTATGCACATGCATACACGTGCATGTACGTGCGCTGTAATCTGATTGGCTGAAACTTTAAACAGCTATATTTCCCTTGGTTTTCAACCAAACGGGGTGGGATTTAGAACATAGATAGATGTAACGGACTTCTACAAGAAGATATGGTCACCATGCTCATGTTTGCACGTGCGTGCACATGAAATGAGATAAATCAAAAATACAATTGAATGAGCGTATTTTTTAATACTATTGGATTAAATACTTTAATATTTAGTATATAAAAAATATATAGATTGTGTAGACACGATGATATGGTCATTACGCACATGCATTCACATGCGCACGCATGCAATGCTAAAATTTGAATGAACTTTGCGTTGTTAAAGTCTCAAATGCATAGATTTTGTCCTATTTAATGAAGCTTACAGGGAATATGGCACCAAAAGGGAGCTGGGGAGCGTTTGGGGAACATCTGTAACGGTCCCCGTTACAATTAGCACTAGTTTATCACCTGGAGTTGTATTGAGGGGTAATGTTTCCTGTTAATATAGTCGTTATCTCCACCAATGCAAGAAGATAATCTTATGTGCGTCCCATCCAGAGCACCTATTATGTCTGGAAGCCCAGATTGAAGCTGAAAGTGTTGTGCAATTCTCTGTTGCTCGATGAAATCAGGCCATTGGATAATCTAAAATGATTGTAAAAAACATCTCTGAGGAAAATTATATACTAGTACATGTAGAGATGTACATGTGTGATCTTGGCTTAAGAAGGCAAAAAAAAAATCTTCACATGACTCAAGACTTCAAGGTCAAAATCAGTTTTTTTTTTCACATGGCCTTAAAAATATCACAGGTATAAAATGACATGCCAAGGGTGATCTATTGAAATAATGGCAAGACACTAAAATGGGAGATTGTAGTATCAAAATCAAAAGTTAGATCAGAGCACATAGTTGTTTTTAAATGAGCTTTGGTCCTCTGAGTCTGATATGTCAAATAAACACACGCCTTAGATTTTCACTATAATTTGCTAAGAGACCAAGATCAAAAGATTAAATCTACTTTTATATGCAACTCAAATTTTAGCAATAAGGAAATCCTCTAAATAAAAAAAATGCAACACTTCTATATAATAATTGCATTGTAATTATGTGGAAGGGGGGGGGGGTACTATAAAAAATTCAGGTGTCCACCTTTTAACACAATACCTTCGAAAGGTTTTCGTTGAATGCGCTGTTGACCCTTTTCAACACACCATGCACTGTGGATTGTCCTATGTCAAAGTAATGACCAATTTCTCGCATTGTCACTTTATTTGACATATAACACATGAATACAAGTAGTTGCTTAGATGGAGGAATCCCTTCAATGCCCCCGCCGTGGTTAGATGTGAGGTAGGCACCAATATTGACGAGTATTTCCTCGAACATTTCTTTGCTTATACGATAATGGTACCGAAAATTGTCTGTAGAAAACAGAGGAATAACATTTTCAACATAACCGGGTACTCGTGGTGACACCGCTTTTGTGCAATGATGGAGAACGGCCCCGGTTAGAAGTAAGAAGTTACTATATTCGTATGTAAATTCATCCTCAGTATCATCTAACAAACTTTCAAACATAAAAAAGCATAACATCTTTTTCTGCGCCATTTTGGAAAAAAACATGCGTATCTACTATCGTTGTTCAGTTGATTTTATGCAAATTTGGGTTATATTTAGACAGATGACGTCAGTTATCGATGTACAATAGTTCCAAGTGAAGTCGCCCATGATGTTTATCTTGAGAATAAAAGCAATTAAAAAGAAATTCCTCTAGTAGTTACATTTAATTAGTGCTGGAAATATAAAGGATTTTTTCGTTTATCAAAGTTGAAAATTTGGTGGTTGCAAAAGAATTTTTTTTATCCATGTTTCCATAGTAACCACAAACCAAAACATTTTTTGTTTTGCATACATAGTTCATAGGGCAAGAGAAAACTATGTGTGGAAAAATCATCAAATTCTGAGAACCCTCACATACACGTATCACCCTTTGCATGATTTTTACACGGAGCTGTACTTAATTACTTTTAATTACTTTGACAAATGTAATTAAATATATTCCAATTACTTAAGTTTTATTTTTACAAAATCTTGAAAACAAATACATATATAAACCGATACACAAGATTCCGGTATTATCTACAGAATTGTTTGTAACAGTTTTGAGTTCAGTGTAATCATTATCAGAAATATAAGATTCACAATGTTTTCTTTTAGTTTTAAAATTTACAGTAACATTTTGTGTGAAATTAAATTGATCCAATACTTTTGAATTCATGTTCAGTTCTGAATAAGATTTTTTTCTATAGTGAACTTTTATTCCACGTTTTTTCCTTGGGTATGAGAGGAATTTACATCTGGACAAAATTAGACAAAAAATGTCGGAAATGAAATAAAAAAAATTCGGAAATGAAATGCAGCGAAAATCCTTACACATGTTACAAGAAATCAGACTATAATTGTTATCAAAACAAATTTCACACCTATTGTTCTGTATCTAGTCATCAAATGTGTGCAAAAGGGAAGCAAACCAAATTAAACATTAGGAGATATTTAATTATTGATCAAACACAAGCTCATGTCATACATGTATGGGTATACAAACTTTGTATCAATAAGAAACTTTTTTATAAACTTTCAACTTGAAACAGGTAATTAAAATGTAATTGAAAAGTAATTGAAAATACATGATATTTTTTGAAATGTATTTTAATACATTCAATACCTTGTAAATGAAGACAGACTCAAATACAAATTACTTCCAATTACTTTGAAAAATGTATTTAATTACACTCAATTACAAATACTTTTTTCAATTACTGCATCCCTGATAGATATAGGTTGAAAAACACTATCTATATTGCTATTACATCCATAGGGAAAGGCTACCCCAAGTTTTCTTACCCAAAATTCTTCTCGTTGTTTACGGAAAGGTGTACTCAGTGAAGGGCTATTTGTGTGGTGATACATCTTTTCGAGAATTTTAACTTTCATTGACAAAATAGAATGATCAGGTAGATTAAATTGTTCGAATAAATTCTGCTGATCTTCATGGTATGAAATCGATGACCTGATATTCTTTTATTACGTGATGCTTTGGTTTTATAGTCTGGTCCGATTTATAGAAAAAAATACTTCTAACGGCAAATAATTATTATTTTGTCCAGCATAGTTTTTTAACCTATTTCGAGTATGTTGAATCCGAAAAAATATGCTGGCCTTCATGAAAATGGGTTAAAGAGGTAAAAATGACGATTCAAAATGGCGGACGTCCAATTTTTCTAATTTCTCTTAATATCGTTCACAAAGGAGAAATAATGTGTGAATATCTCACTGAGTGTAATACAAGTATAAAACTGATAATAGAATGCTAACATTCTTAGCTAAACTCAGAAAATTTGGTCGTTTCTACACTGCATTCGAATTTTCTCTGATTATTTGGTCTATTGTTCTATATTTCGCTTTGTTCAGGATTTTACATAATATCCATACACTGCAGATTTGTATTTTTTTCCTCTGCATCTCACTATTCTACAACTGAATGATGGCGCAGCTGTAAGTTAAAAGTCAAAATGGCCATTCAAAATGGCGGATATTAATCTTTTTTAAAACTATTTCTTAATGTCGTTTACATAGGAGAAAGGATTTTTGAATATCTTACTGAGCGTAGTACAACTATGTAACATGCCAACAGAACTATTAATTTGATCACTTTAAATCGGAAAATTTAGTCGTTTAAATTTGAATTATGTTAATTAGCTCAAAATGGCGATTCTAAATGACGTCTGATACAGTGGAATTTCGTAGAAACCGCTTAATTATGGTTCGTTTTGCAGAAAATAAATTGCAGTTTGTTTTTTATATATATAGTATATTGATTAGTCCATTAAATATGAACAAAAAATGCTTGAAAAGATTCATTTTTTTTTCTGGAAATAGTTAAAACAAACTCAACTTAAGAGTTCCAAATCCCCCCCCCCCCCCTTCGTATTTGACCGTACGTGTTCCAAAGCCTTTGAGCTCCCGTCCACCAAAAATCACTCCCGATTCCTGACATTATCAACTCTCACTTCTACCTCAACATCCCTCGGCACACCATAAAATATAACTAAAGAAATTCTTGTCCCATTTCATCGAACACTTTGTTCTAGCTTTTTAGCACTCATAAAAACTTAGTATTAGCCCCTAACATTTTCTATTCCATCTTTATTTGGTATATGTTTCACTCTGTCTTCGGAATTTTGGTATTTTCAACACTCAAGTAAAATGGTGCCCCGGGTCAAGAATGACAACCCCATTGGCATGTAAAAGATCGTTTCTCTGGAGTTCGAAAAAGAGTAAGCTCAATGGGGGCCGCCAGAGAAACCTAAATCCTTCAAAATTAGATTATTTAAACTGATTGTCCGCCGAAACATTGCTGAAAAATTGCCGACTCGGCGTTAAACAATATACAATCAATCGACCAACACTCAAGGAACAACACATTTATGTTCAGATGTTAAAAGTATATTTTGCTATCCAAAACCATATGCAAAATGAACTAAAGATACTGTGAGCAATTAGCTTACTAAAGGATACCCCGGTCTCCCATATGAATATAATGATAGTGTCAATGTTCTTCTACGGGAAACCCAAAATATGATGTGTCGGATCAAAAAGTAAAATAGGATGTAACAATGGCAATATGTAATAAAGATTCTGTGAAAGTTTCATCAAATTTCATTCAGTGGTATAAGAGGAATTGCGGATAAGAGATGGGTACCCCAAAGCATAACAGACGGACGGACGGACATACCGATTACTCTATACTCTTCCGCTTTTTAAGCGGGGGTATAAAAAATCTCTGATATTCAAGACATGTAGCTCTTTATTTTGTGACCTCGAACAGATTTGTTATCTTTTAGTGTAGAAAAGTCATTCTATTAGCAAGAAAATTCTCAAACTTGATCATCTGAAATCACATTGTGTGCATATTTGGTGAGAAAAGTTGAAAAATTATGCAATTTAAGAGCGCCTGTAGATTCCTCGTGATTCCTATCACTTACAAGCCTTCGTACTAATAGGCCTAAGCCATTCCTGATTTTGATCTAGTCAATATTTCTCTTGACAACAAAATTTTCTTGAACACTTCAAGACCTTTACAAGGCAACTTGAAAAGTGTCACGTGACTAAACATGGAGTAGCTGTGTTTTACAAGAGCTCCGCAATTTTTGTCGAATTCTCAGGGAAATGGAGATCACAACTGCATATATTACTCCTTAAGGTAATCCATGTTATCTTTCAAGCATATTTTGTGTTCAAAGTATGAAAGAACTGGATATTTGTGATTATTTTAAATTCGCACAATACAAAGGTACTGCGAGCCTATTGAGTACTTTTCACGTATAGTATAATCAACAGCGGATGCCTTAAATTTACTGTGTATATCGTTTGTATTTATAATGTGATCTTTGCATTCAAAAAACAATGGGTGGAAGAGGAAGAGGCAATGTACCTAGATCCTACAATAAATCATACAATAAATCATTTCAAAATGCACATCCTACAAAGAGGTCAAGGCCTAATTCAGACTCTGATGTCTCGCAAAACATGTCCCAAGACCTATCCCATCTCAGTGATCTCCTTGACAATATTTCAAGTGAGAATGCACTATTACAACAGGCAACAAATATGATTTTGAACAAACCAGCTTTCAAAAGTAGCATAATTGACAAACTCGCATCAGAAGTCTCCGATCTTGAGTCCCGTCTTGATGATGTTGAACAATACTCAAGAAAGACCTGCCTAAAATTTACAGGAATTCCTGAGATGAAAAACGAGGATACTTCCAAAGTTATTCTGAATACAATCAACAACTGTGTTCTCAATCAAGTTCAAGCCACTCTGAATATAGGAGCTATAAGCACCTCCCATAGGTTAGGACCTCCTCGAAATGACAGACCTAGAGACATCATTGTCCGATTCGTTAGATACGATGACAAGGCCTTAGTCTATAACAACAAAAGTAATCTCAAAGGCTGGAATGACAACCCAACCAACACTTATAAGATCTACATAAATGAGGCCCTCACTCGCAAACGATCCATGCTATTTGCAAAAGCCAGAGCAGCTGTTCGTAATCACCGAGCTCAGGGATGCTGGACTTATGACAGTAAAATTTATGTCAAGATAAACGACAAAAAAAGGGTAATTATCTAAAACATCAACGATATAGATAATCTGGTGAGCGAAGACAGTTTGGCAGGTGACGTAGCAGATGATGAGATGGAGGAGGGTGAGCGCTCATATTCGACGGTGGTCAAGGCCAGCCCGGTTGACTCATCGACCTCAAGTCCTACCGGAGATCAAGGTATGACCGGTGATAAAGGTGTGACTGGAGATCAAAGTACAACCCTCGGTGATGATTTAAATGGCTGAACATATTTATATGTTTGAGTTTAACATACTTACATCACTTGTAATCTGCCTATTTATTACCATCCCCCCTTTTTATCATTATACATAAAAATTGCGGATATAGCGGACTGTGTATGCCTTTACACGTAACATGTCTAGGACTATTTTTGTTTAGTACTTTAGTTTTGTTTGCATCCAATCCTATATTATTA